ATGCTGTCAAGTGGGGCCAGCTCGGCTGCATTGGGATGTCCTGCTGGGGATGCCTCCCAAACAGAGCAAACAGGGATGCCTGTCTTCTCCTAGAGTAACATTAGAACACAGGATATTGCAGGGCTTTCCAGAAAGAATTTCACAGCCTTCCAGGAAAAACAATGGGTTTGGTGTTCAAAATTTCATGAGTTGCTGATCAAAAAAGGGAAGACTGTATCAGTGGGGGACAAGAGGTGGAAAAGAGAGCATCCCAGGGGCACTACAACGTCCAGGGACACCACAGAGATGAGAGCCATGGTGATGACACATATATGGGTTTTCATCCTTTGGCTCAGTGCCAGCAAGAATATTTAGAGTTTATCAAAATTCTTAGGTTGTCACTGGTTAAATAACTGTATTTGGGTTTAGCAGCAGAGGAGCTGTGGGGGTGGCTTCTCTGAGAAACTGCTAGAAGCTTTCCCAGTGTCCAATAGAGCCAATGCCAGACAGCTCCAAGACAGGTCTACTGCTAGCCTTGGTTGAGCCCATCAAGGACAGTGCTAGCACCTCTGGGGTAGCAGAGTTAAGAAAGGGAAGGAAAAACCTGGCAAAACAGCAAATGGAGACAGGAGTGGGAATACGTGAGAGAAACAGCCCTGCAGACACCAATGCCAGTGAAGAAGGAGTGGGAGGGGGTGCTCCAGGAGCAAATGGATGCCAGAAGGAGGTTGTGACCATGTGGGAAGCCCATGCTGGATCAGGCTCCTGGCAGAACCTGTGGCCCCATGGAGACAGAAGCCCAGCTGGAGCAGGTTTGCTGGCAGGACTTGTGACCCCACCAGGGACCCACACTAGAGCAGTTCATGCAGAACTGCAGCTATGGGAAAGATTCACACTGGAGAAGTTCATGGAGGACTGTCTCCCGTGGGAGGAACCCCATACTAGAGCAAGGGCAGAGTGTGAGGAGTCCTCCCTCTGAGGAGGAAGCAGCGGCAGAGACAACTTGTGATGAACTGACCACAGCCCCTATTCCCTATCCCCCTGTGCCACTGCTGCATAGAAGGGAGAGAAAATCAGGAGCAAGGCTGAGCCCAGAAAAAAGGATGGGGTGGGGGGGAAATGTTTTTAGGATTTCATTTCATTTTCATTGTCCTACTTTGTTATTGTGGTGGGTTGACTCCAGCTGGATACTAAGTGCCTGCCAAAGCTCTATCACTCCCCATCTCAGCTGGACAGGGGAGAGAAAATATAACAAAAGGCTCATGGGTTGAGCTAAAGACAGGGCAAGATTAGTTTCATTTACTACCAATCAAATCAAAGTCAACATTTTCTTTTTCTGTAGGATTTTTTTCCCCAAAGTTCTTTGGTTATTTTGAAAAGACATCAAGTATGTGGCACCTGAATTGGCACCATGTTATCGTTCTGTAAAGCCATGGAAAAGCAGAGCAGGTTCCCAGTCTCAGTAGCCCTCACAAATTTTTGTTCGGGCCATCATGGAATTCAAATAACTATTTGGAACACTTAGAAAATGAAGATGAAATGCATAAGGAACCATAAGAGACTTACAGAAAGGCACACAGCATGACCAAAGCCTTCTCATTTTTAATATTCCTATTTCTCCTTCTAAACTTTTTCTTTAAACTGAAAAATAATGAGAAAATGTGCTTCCTTGAGACAAGCCAGAACTATCAGCTAAACAACCTCACATTCACCGTAGCACTCCAAGTGCTCTGGAATGCTTTTCAGCCCAGAGGATAATAGTATTAGACGACCAGAAAGGCTGTCCTGTAAAAGACTGTTATTATGATTTCCAGTCTCAGAAGTTGGCTTAATCCAGCTGAGCACACACATGTTATTTAGAGAGGAGACTGGGCTCAGACACTTGTATCATCATCATCTTTATTGCAAATGAAGGGTTCAGCCAGTGAAAGGCAAGTCACGTTTTTTTGTCCTAAGCCCTGCAAACACTGGCTGTTGCACTCATCTTTGCACTCTGCAGCAAGAGTCTGGAGCTGCTGAATGCTGAGCTGTTTGCACAGATTTGCATCTGTCTAAAAAATCATGTTTTCTCTCTTGTCGCCTAATCAATCAAATGGCAAAAGATGCACTCCCTGCACCCTCCAAGGAAAACAGCTCTGTGCCCACACAAAAGGTAAAGCATGAGCATAGGGGTTAACGAGACGTGGTAAGCTGTGAACCGCGTAACAGGAACATTTTTTTCTTTTCTGTCTGCCTGAAATTTCATGCTGCTCTTCCTCTGTCTGTGGAACAAAAGAAGAAGAGGCAATGATGCTCAGAGTTGGGAAAAAAATAATCTGGGATTGTTCCCTGCATGAGAAAAATATGTTTGAAAGATTACTTGAGGAATTTGTACCTTAACTTGAGCAGGGAATGCTGCACAGCTTCTCTCCTGGGGTTTAGGCAGAACAGCTCCCTCCCAAAGGACCAGTTCGCCCACCCACACCTTCCCAGGTGAGCAGGACCCAACTCACACCCCAGCCACCCAAGGACTGTCAGTCGAGCACCAATCCCTGCAGATCAGCTCGTAAATGGCATCATTGCTTGGAATTGTTGGAATCTGCCCATGCCAAAACCCAACAGGGTTGCTACTGCTCCATCAGTGGGGGGGGGGGGGGGGGGGGGGGGAGAGTGAGCCCTCTGACCCCATCCTGTTTGCCCCAGGAGGGATATTGCACTTCATTACACAGCACCTGGAGTGAAGGTTCCTCTGTGAATATCCAGCATGACTGAATTCCACCTATTCAGTCTTTCACCAATATTGTCTTTGCTGACATTCCTCCTCAACACCACCCCCTGAGCTGCACTTTTGCTTGTCAAAACAGCTTGGGTGACTGTCCTTCCAGTCACCTCCCAAAGAAGGAGCCACTGGGCACTCAGATGAGTGTCAGGATGGGAGGGGCAGCAGCTTCCCCACCTCAGTCTCAGGGTAAGCAGCTCAAACAAGTTGAAACCCCCATGAGCATCATCTCTTCCCAGGCAAGCACTCCTTCCCTGGCACATTTTCCCGTGGGAGACAAGCACAGGGGCCTTAAAATAAATCTGTCTTTTTAAAGCAGCAATGCTAAATGAAGGTTTGAGATCAAAGACTGGGATTCTCACATTTTGCCAAGACAGACATATCCATTCACAAGATTTTTGGTGTAACAAAATACTTGCTAATGAAGAGGATCATAATCTTATTATTAGCCCCAACCTAGCACAGTATGTCATTTGAGAGCAGGCTGGAATATGTCCTAGTTTAGGAAGTTGCACAGTAGGCTTTGCTTTTGATTTAATGAGCTGTGATTGTGTTTATTTTCAGCAGAAACTATGCCAGTTAAATTTTGGTTGAAGGTCTGATCGTTAATGACAGTAATCGACGGGAAGGATGAATCTGGGTTCAAGGGAAGGAAAATGGAGACTGTATGTCTCTGATAGTCAGTCACCAAGCACGCAGACTCAAAGCTGCCAGCAGGCTCTGAGCTTTCTCTGCTTTTGCAGTGCTGGATGATGGGTTTTAAACTACTGGTCAAGTCAGTTAAGGGGATTTAGATACGAAAAAAATAAGATTTTTGCAGTTATGGAGTGGGGCACAGAGAAGAGGCAGGTGTAGGAAATCAACTGTGGGGGCCAAACTTGCCTCTCGAGGGATGAGCCATGGTGGGACGAGGTCATCAGCTGGCCTCTGCTATCAAGATCCCAGAAATTTTTAAATGAGGGGACACGTCAGTAGTGTGCAACAACTGAACAAAACAAGACAGACAAGCAAAATGGAGAAGAAAGGGGAAGGGGAAGAGAAATATAAATGGAGATGCATACTCTGAAAAAAAAATGCTACAGCAGATCTAGTTAGTGTAGGCGCTGCTCTGGAGTTAGATGGGGCCCCATGTGGCAGGCTCTCCCCAGATTAACAGCCCCACCACAATGCAGTGCTGTTGCCTGTCTGGATAGCTGGAGCTGGGCCACTGAGCAAGAAAGGCAGGGCAGGACAGGTCACAACTCAGATATCCCCCCTTCATGCTCTTTTTGCAGTTGGTATTTTTTTCTCAGCTTCCAGCCTGGGGAAGGATGCTGTGCTTGGTGTTTGACACCATCAGCCCCAAATGGATCCAGCACAGTTTATTTTCCAGCATCAAAGTGCACACGCAGACACATGCATGAGCATGTATGTACAGGCAGGACATCCATGTGGGGCATGAAAGAAACACAGACATGGACAGACACATGAATAGACACACATAGCCAGTTGTAGCCCTTAAAAGCTTGCACAATATTAAGATGAGTAAACAGATGCAGGTAAACATTACTTTCAAGCAAAATTTCCTATAATCCTACTGTACTTCAGATGCTCAGAAAACAAAACAAAACAAAAACTGAGCATGTCAAATTACAGGAAACACAGGAAATCTGAGAGATACATCCACTTCAGAGGTAAAGGCTCAAGGTATCCATGACCTTAATAAATGAAAATTTTTAAAAAACGCTGTGTAGCATTTCCTCCTCAAGTCAAAGGCAAATCCTTTGCCCCTGCTAAGCCTGTACCAGGCCTGGGCTCAATGTTCCCTTTCCCAGGCTGTGCCCAGCCCGGACATGAGGCTGTTGCCTTGTGCCAGGCAGCGAGGTGTTTAGCAGAGCAATCACCGAACAAGCAGCTTGTCAACTCCAGCGCCTGTGAATTCCTGTGGCAAGTGTAAAAAAGCAGTTAATATGTTGTTCTATTTTAAAAGCTGGTTTTTTTATGACGGCCGTCTCTCTGGCGGGGCATCCCTCCTCTCCGAAACGGCACGCAGAGGGTGTGTGTCCCCTACACCCCCTGCTCGGGAGCTGGAGACCAGACCCGGGCGTGGGGTGGCGGGGGACTGGGCCGGGGCAGGAGGTCACAGCCCCAGGGAGCTCCGGCGGCCGCTGGGCAGCTCAAGGGGCTCATTGTGCCCTGGAGGGGGCGGTCCTACCCTCCCCGCCGGCCGGGGCCGGGAGCGGGGCGGGCCGGGGCGGTGCAGCCCCCCGTCGGGGCTGAGGCCGGGACCGGGGCGGCGGCGGAGCCCGGGGCACCTCTCCATCCCGCGGTAGTCATGGCAGAGGGCTCCGAGAAGGTGCCCATCGCCCACGCTGGGCCCGATGATGTGGAACTGTGCCTGCCCCCCGTGAGTGATGCGGGGCGGCACCGGGCGGGACCGGGTGGGATGGGGACAAAACCTGTCGGGAGGGAACGGGACCGAGTGGGTCGGGATGTGACGGCACGGGTCGGGTCGGGAGGGGACGGGACGAGTTTGGTACCGGGATAGGTCAGGTCGGGTCGGGTCGGTACAGGTCGGGATGTAACGGGACGGATCAGGACAAAACGGGTCGGGTGGGATCGGATCCGGACCGAACAGATCGTGATGGGGTCGTATTAGGACGGGTCAGGTCTGGTCAAGCCCAGGGCTCAGGACGGGTCGGGGTTCGAACGGGGGTGCCGGGGCGCGGGTCCCGCCGGGCCGGGGTCTCTGCCCGTCCGGGGGTCCCCGCTCCGCTCCAGCCCCGCTCTCTCCGCAGGCGTACGCGGCGGCGGCGCCCCCCGGGCCCGGGCGGCTGCTGAAGGCCGGAGCCGCAGTGCTGATCGCTGGAGCGCTCCTGCTCCTGGCCGGAGCCATCGGCGCCTTCTACTTCTGGAAGGCCACGGAGCAGCAGGTGAGCGCGGCTGGCGCCGGGCCCAGCGGCACGTCCGCACCCGGAGGCGGGCGGGCTTGGAGCTCTTGCACGTACGGAGAAGGCGTGGGTTGGAAACTCTTCTTGCAAGGTCTATAAAGAGGTCTTTATTTTTCTCTTGTATTTTTTTTCCATGCTTTCAAAAATTTCCAAACACCTAAAATCCAAACCCGCAATCACTATCTTTGGTGGCTGTTTGGATGGAGCTTCCTGGAAGCACATTTACTAGCAAACACGAAACATCTTTGAAAGCACAGATGCTACATTGATTTCTGCTTGCAAATGCTCGGTGAACTCAAACCCCAACAAGACCCTGGGGATTCACATCCTGGGCAAGCTCCAGCTCTCAGGACAAAAAAAGCATTGAAATGTGTAAATTCCTTTTTCACATCATCTGCATTCTTGATCCACATTCTACCTAGACCCTCAAGTATATAATGCTATAATTAACCCAGTAACAGGCACCATTATTTCACTCTGATGCTTTGTATGACTGTGCATACACTTAGGCACTTTTGCTTAGCAGCTGTGGAGCAATTTTTAAAGTCTTGGTAAGTTTTGTTATTTACAGTTTCCGGGGCACACGTAAAACCCATGAAAATGAGAAGCTGTTGGTCAGTGTAAGAACCAAACCTCAGAGCATTAGAACATGTTTACAGATTAACTTTTCTTTCTGTTTACACAGTATTTGTGTTTAAAGCATATTTGAGACATGATGGTACACACATAAATGTGACTTATTCCATAAATTAAGTTAGTATCCTTGAATTTACCTTGGAAGAAGTTTTGTGCTGCCTCCGGTCACTCGCCAGTCCTCATCAAGGAGAGCCTTGTGTGAATTCCAGCAACCAGAGCAGAGGTTCCTCTGTGAGACACACCCACACACAGAGCGATAATTCAGATAATCAGAAAGAAAAGTACAAGGTTTTCCCCCAGAAAGACAGGACACGCTGCTGACCTCCAAGACATGCTGCAAGAGCCATCTACTTCTCTAGGCTTTTGAAAAGAGAGAAGGCCACAAATGGGGATACAGTGCATTCAGCTCTGAGGAGGTGGGTGCACTTATGGAGTACAGGACAAAGTTTCACCTTTTTTTATTGCTCCCATCATCTAAATTCAGCCTTGCAAAATATGTCACATTCACAGGAGTCATTAAGCTTCAATGTTGATCTCTAGATGTGAAGTTGATCTCCCAGTGAAGACACTGAGAAACCTGAGTTATTTTTCCAAGCTGCCTTCAATCTCAGAAAGCTGCAGTTGACTTGCAAATGTTTAGGAAGCAACTGTAAAAATTATATTCAGGGTCATTCATTAAAAAAATAAGGCATTTTTTAATCCTTATTTTTATTTTATATTTTTAAATTCTTCCTTAACTGACAGGGGTATCAAAGTCTCTACTGAAGCTCAGCCCTTATCAGGGGAGGCCACATAGATTGGTCTGGTTCTATGAACCACATTCAACAGGAGTCCTAGACAGCTAAGAATATGGGAATGACTCTGTATAACTGAGGAACCATGAATCTTCAGCACCTTAGACTTTCTTGAGCGAAGGTGAGAGAAGAAGAAATTTGTCTCTAGCTGTCAGTGTAAATTTTTCATTAAAATGCTGCAAAGGCTCTTTTAAGACCCAAAATAAACTGCTTGTGCAGCACTTCTGGCAGAGCTGCACAAGAGAATCACAAAAGCCCTCCACAGATTGTGGTCCTCCAGCAAATACAAACCACGTTGCAGCTTTCCTCATTGAAAATAGGATAAGAGCAAATACGCTGACAAGGAAAATACAAGCCTATACAACTTCACATCCAATTTAAACAAAGTTCACATCCATTACAAGCTGGGAAGCATGTTCGTATTCAAGAGGAACCTGTTTTTCTGTGCCTCAGCAGAACATCCTAATACATAAATAGGGGTTGGTCTCCTTCAGAGTAGGATATTCGCTCCTGCTTTCCTTTGGGAATCATGCCAGCATAACAAGCAATTCCTAAAATATGACCTAGAAGAAGGTTTTTAGGTCAGAGTGAACCCGGATGTGGACTCACCTCACATTGTTTTTGAGTAGAACTGTGAGCACTCCCTGGAAGGGGGACCTCAGGAGGTCTCTAGTCCAACCTGCTGCTCAGAGCAGGGACAGCTGTGGGTTCAGAAATGGTTCCTCAGGGCTTTATCCAGTTGGGCCTTGAAAACTTCCAAGGATGGAGACTGAACAACCTCTCTGGTCTAGCTGCCCCACCACCAGCCTGCCCCGATGGTCCAGTAGTGCAGTGTTGATTGCTGGAGGGTTATCAAATGCTTACAGAAGCAAAAGTTAGAAGGGATATGATAGTCAGATTGACCCACTGCCCAGTGTAGGAGGAAAGCAATAAGCAACTACTAGCATGTGCTATTGCTCTTTTTTCAATTCCAGGTGTACAACGTTCACTACACTATGAGCATTAATGGAAAAGTACAAGATGGATCAATGGAAATAGATGCTGGAAATAACTTAGAGACATTCAAAACAGGAAGTGGGAATGAAGAGGCTGTTGAAGTTCATGATTTTCAGATCGTAAGTACTGTCACCCTTGTCCTTCATGTAACATGCTCCACTGCTGGACTCTAAGGACACCTTGCCCTGCCCTGACTTCTCTGCCCCAGTCAGTCTCAGGTTCCAGCCTCCAAACATCCGCACAAACATTCTTACTCTCCTGGCTTGCTTTCACAGGGAGACAGGCAGTTTCCTCCTAAACAAAATCTAAGTGCTTTTTGGGAATAAGCCATGCCATGTACCACTCCGGGAAGTAATATGGATCAGGCTACATCAGATTTGGCTCCATGTTAACGCTCTGCATTTTCACACCACTGAGCAGAACTACAACATGCAACCTTGAGATCTTGCTAGAAAAACATTCTGGCAGGCTGTGAAACAACCCTTGCATGATTTCCTGTCATTTGAACTGGAAAAACCACCTCCCCCAAACATACTTGTTTTAGGAGCATAGGGTCAAGACAGTAAGTCAGCTAGACACCAAGGAGAGACCACTATACAGCGCTTGACCTGGGGAGCTTGCTCTGCCCTGAGATCAAGGATGGGAGCTGCTCTCCATGGCTTGGCCTAAGTTCATCCCCAGGGGAGAGGATGGAGGCATTTAGCACAGATTATGCATCCATTCACCAAATGCAAGGTGCTGGGTCACTTGGATTGAAGCAAACACATTTGGGTACACCAGCAACTTGGCTGTGGCTGCTCAGCACAGTGCCTGGACCAACAGATACCAAATCTCAGCACAGTTCAACAGATTGGACAGAGTAGTTCACTGACCTGTACCACCCCTGAGTTACTAAGGGCACATCTATGTGATGCTGCAGAAACCCATTTCCAGGGCCCAGACTCTGCAGTTAATGTTCTCAGGTGCAAAACACTCAACTTCAGAGTTAAGTCCTCTGTAAGTCAAAGCAGCACTGAAAATAAAGATGTTGCTGCTAGGAAGCATCTCTGCCTCTGGAGCAGCCACCTTCCCCTTGCTGGATCTAGAAAGGCAAGGAAATTCAGCTCCTTGGCTTCTCAGCAAGTACAAACAAATCCATGCCAGGAGACCCAGGAGACCCTGGACCCCAATCACAGGACCGCAAGTTGCCAAGTTGCGGTTCTGCCTTTACGGAACTCTCATTAACATCACCATAGCAACATTATTAGCAGCATCTACAGTGAGCTCTTCTCATTTGCCTTTGCGATTTCACATCCACTCAAAAGCATCAGTCCACTGGAGAGATACCAAATTCATTTTGCCTCTACATGTGTTGCTGGTAAGTACTGCCTGTCGTACCCAGGTCAGAAATCAGCTCCCAACACCAACCAGCTAAAAGGACCTCCTAGGGACAGGGCTCTCTTGTAATTACAGAGAGCCAGGACCAGGCTCAGTGAGAGCAAAGGGATGCTGCCCCTTGGGTTTTGAGCCAAGAATGCACAAAAAGGTGAAAGCAACTGAAGAGATGTGCTTCCGACGGATTAGTATTTACATCAGTAGCTTTCGATTGACTGGCATTGCTGGAATGATTGCACAGTCAGTGAAGGCCTGGATTTGGCAATATTAGGGTACTCCTAGCATGCCTGGTGCATCACAAAGCCTTATTTCCTAGTGCACCCATCCCTGCACAGCCATCCCCTCTCTTACTGCTCAACAATTAGTCACTTTGTTTTGATGGGGGTGTGCCTAGCTATGCAGGACCTGCAACATACAGGACATGACTCAGGTGTCCCAGTACCATCCATCTCATGCTGCACTAGATGGCCAGGGCACCCACGATGCCCCTTCAGGGCAGATGAGAGGGGCCATGCTGACACCCATGCCCCCTTGTCCTGGCAGCTAGAGGCCAGGCAGAAAACTAGCACATCTCAAAAGGCACTAAGTAATTGTATTTCAGTGGTTGGCTGGAGCATGTGCAACTTATGAAAAACAAGAAGTTTTGTCATTTACAACAAGGTATCTAAATTTATAACATAAAAAAAGAGTTCTTTTATGGATACCCAAATCTTACAGCAGAAATGTAGAAACTACAGACAAGGTTCCCATAGCAAAATGTTGATGCCTAAGGTTCTGGCACAGGTCTGGAAGGTACACCCCAAGACTTTCTGAAGACTTGCTCCCTCTGGAGCTCCTTCTCTTGCTTAAAACTAGACATCCATGGTTTATGCAACTGTGTTTCACCCTAGCAGGCGAGACGAAGTCCCACACACAGATTTCTGCACCAAATTTCCCATCACGAACTTCCCCTTGCTGTCACAGCCACTTACATGTATAAATTGAACTAAGCTGCCCCCATATTTTTGTAAATCTGTGTCACAAGGGTACCACACCACCAGCTAACACAACTTTGAGACTTCCTACGTTAGGTGCTAAGTTACAGTTCAAATCGTGTCAAGTAATTCCTTAACAGAGTTACTCCAAGTAGCCTACAGCTTCCATGGAAGCACTTACATAAAACACCCCCCACTTTCAGAAATGAAGCAAAAACTTCTAGACCCATTTGACCAAAATTGTGAAGCTAAAATGATGAGAGAAGAGTGTTTTATTGCATCTGGTTTTAAATAAGATTAGCATTCAAAATGAAAATTTGGTGGCAATTTTAGCAGAGCTGAGGTGCTTTCTTGGGATAGCAAGGAGCTGGAGGGATGTGCACAACCCTCTGCCTTCTGCTTTTGCAGGGCATAACTGGGATCCGTTTTGCTGAAGGAGAAAAGTGTTACATCAAAGCTCAGCCAAAAGCTCACGTCCCCGAAGTTGATGCTATGACTAAAGCGAGCCTCTCATCTGAGCTGGTAAGGGGTAATCTAATTATTTATTTTTCAACTACTCTTTGTACAGAGAGGGTCTTAAAGTGGTATTTAAATACAACTAAAAATGAGATTTGAAAGCCACTGTGGCTAGTTGTAGGGTTGTTGAGGATAGTGAATGATAGCTGAGGATTCACTGACTGGTTGCAAGGGGTTCCTGAAAAGCAAGATTGGTGTCAGACATGTCACTGTGTCCAGGGACATCGTGAGAGGCTGCAGATTAGTGAGTGGGGAAGCCACAGACCGATCTCTAACAGATCCATAGGAGACCTCCATGACAAAAGCACCTGCCTGAGAATAGGCTGTGCACAAGGCTGGAAGGGAGAGCGTGGAAGAAGCAGCTCTTTAGTCAATGCAATCATGGTAGATCCCAGGAGATTTCTATCAATGCTCTTGAACAGAAGCATGGACTCCATCACTCAAGCCCTCTGAAATAGTCAATCAAAGGGAATTGTGGAAAATATGGCAAAAATTCAGGTAACTCAGAAGAAATAATAATTTTTTAAAAATTAAGAAATTGCCTTCTTAGCGTCGAACAATTTTACAACATGGCAACTAAATTTCATAGAATCTGAATCACAGCCAGAAAAAAGGCTGCAGTTCTCACCCAGATACTGCCAAACCGTCTCCTCACCTCACTTTTGCAAAAAAAGCCTATAGCTTTATGTGCGCAAAGTCTGAGTTTCCCAGAGCTCAGACCCCCAAACCCATCTCTCACACAGAAGTGGCTCCAGTGACTTGAGTATGGCTGAGCCTGGACACTGGTGGGGGCTCAGCTACTGTCAGGAGAGCACAGGAGATTCACAACCTCTTTCCCTAGGTTTGCTCTGGTCCCAAGAGAATAAAAGCAGATACAATTCCCAAGGAGAGAGGCACTGTTAAGGCTGTACCTACCTGCAATGGTGCTGTGATTACTGAACATCTGCTTCAAAACTAAGGGGAAAAAGGTCTCCAAACCAAGTCAGCAAGGCAGCAGAAATGTCACAAAGCCCCCTGAAGCTGGTGGAATTTTCCCCATGGTAGGAAAGAGAACTTGCACAAATTCCAGACAGAGAGCTCCATCTTTCCTGCCTTGCCTTATTTTAAAGGCAGCTGGGCTTTTTGTCTTCACTCGCACTACTGCCTAAAGATAAAGTTTGAATTTTTCATCTCTTTGTAAGAACAAAGTCATAGACCTGAAGACATTATCCTAAAACGGTCAAAAAGTTATTTCTAATACTTTACCTGGTGACAACAAGCCTGTTTCCTTGTCCTGTTTTTTGTGCATTTTCTCCAAAGATGCATCACCTACATGAATGCTGCAATGAATTGTATGCACCGAGGCCAAAACAAGCAGGCAACTCAGTGCTATCATTAACCTTTCCCTGACATTCGACTTTCCAGGCTAGATGTACAACAGGAATGGCAAAATAGTATTTATTTTTCCTAGAGCAAGTCCTCTCTCTCATATGCAAGTATTTAGGAGAAAGTATGCATATGCTCTTTTCTTATAACACGTATCATAACATTGCTTAAAAAAATGGTTGAGTAAAGTGAGTTTTATAGATACCCAAATTCTGTCCGCTCACAAGTCAGGATCATCTCAAACAAAAACAAAGGGTATTTTTATTTCTGAAAACTAGACTTAGATATTTCTGATGTTGATAAAAGCTTAAGTGAGAGAATATAAATAAAGAGCAGTAGACAGATTGGAAAGCAAACTTAAATGACTTGAGACCTACAAAAGAAATCAATAAACACACTAAAGAAACAACAACCCAAGGGAGTAAATTGATCTAGTCAGTTATATAACAAGTTTTGATGACTTTTATGAAAGCAATTTAGAATTTTAACTTTGAAACCATACTGTTTTTCATGATTCAAAAGTTGGTTTTCTTTTAATATTTCACTGTTGCTATAAAATACTTACACATTTTATGTAAAATAATACTTTGAACTAACAACTTTAAAGAATCAATCACTGGCATTTTCCTGCATTACTTTGAAGATATGAACCAAAAACCTGCAGGGTACACTTCAAAAAGGCAGGCTCCTTTAACTTGCACTTCAAGTTTTTGGTCAATTGAATTGCTTTTACCAAACAAGACCTTTAATCAGACCGATCACGTTGACTTATAACTGGAAGCTGGAGCAGCTCTCAAGCTATAATCCTCTCTAAAACTTCTGAACAAGATTCCACCCCCCATCCCCTGCACACATTGTAAATACAGTTATATTGGGAGTACATCAAATGTGAATGGGGCATAATAAAAGATTAGGGGCTTGGGTTTTGCTGGAGTATTTCATTGCTGCTTTGCTGAAGGTGGTAAATCTTCACAGTTTCTACCACCTGGAATACTGATGCTTTGAACTAAAAAGATCTCTGACACCCAGCCCATGCACATGGGGCAAAAGCCTTCCAGGAGTGAAATGGGTGAAATCACAGCCCCAGCAAAGCTGACAGTAGTTTTGCCCTTTGTTTCAGCTGCAGCAGCCTTTCCCCAGGCCTTGGCTCTGTAAAGTCAGTTCACATTCATGCAACAGAAGGATGCTCAGTATTAGTTGCAGCGGGTGATTATACAGCTTGGTGCTCAAGAATTAACAGAAAGCAGGCACATGACTGCTCACTGAGCAGCAAAGGATTTACACTCTTCTATTTGCAGGAAGATGAAATCATGCCTGTGAGATTTGACAAAAATTCCCTTATCTGGGTGGCTGCAGATGAGCCTATCAAGCATAACAGCTTCCTAAGCCCCAAAATTTTAGAGCTTTGCGGGGATCTTCCAATTTTCTGGCTGCGACCAACATATCCCAAAGGTAACACTTCTTTTATTTAAAAAGTATCTTATCCCTCCCTTCATCTAAATGCCTTCCCGACATCATGTTTGCCACTGAAACTTGCACATCTGGGAAACCAGACTCCTCTCCTCCCTTGCCCAGCCTGTTTTCCCATGCCTTTGTGGGTTCATGCCGAGATTGGGGGTTTGAAGTTTATCCATTAGAGATTTTCCATATTTGTATTTCCTCAGACAATTTATACAGCCCATGTGGGTGTCTATGAGATGAAACATTCCCAGAGAAATTAGCCTCCTTCCACAGAATGACAAGAGCTCAAACTAGCCCCCAAAACGTTGAGGTAGCTGACACCAGGTAGCAGGAACATTCTACCTGGCCAAGAGTTGGGGAATATCAAGCTCCTGGCCTGGGACCATAGCCTGTCCTGTTTCCTACCCTGCTTCTCCAGAGGATATCAGTGGAGTGGAAGGATGAGATGCTTTAAGCTACCCAACTGGTGGATGGTTTGTGAGGTTCTGGGGGTAGTCCCAACACTGAAGTACTCTTGTCACCCAGAGCCAAGTTTAGCAAAGGTGTTCAGGAGTCATGAGGGAGACAGCAACTTCTCCAGGTGACTTCCAGGTCTAAGAGGAGAGAAGGCTTGAAAAGATTTATTCTTCCTTGGTCCAGTTAATATCAGAACACTTGGGGAGGACAACACAAGCCAAAAAAATTCACCACATTTCAGAGCACCTGTGGATCCAAGCTACCAACATTTTCCACTTTGCTCATGACCTTGCCTATCCCACTGAGCAACAAAAGAGCAGTATCAAAGCTGTCCAGAACCTGTTTCCACCAGGTTCCCCAGCTGTCCTTGAGAGCAGGGCACCATTCTGTCATAAAATCATTTTTAAAAAATGAGATGTGTATGACTGGTCTTGCTAGTGCTAGCGACTGCTGCTGACTTGGCATCAGTGACCACGGGGTGGGTCAAAAAACCCCCAACCAATCTTCTCACACACATTTTGCCTCAAGGAGGGGAAGAGGGGAGAAAAAAAGGTAATCATACTGTTTTGGATTGACATTGGCTGCAGATACAACAAAGAAAGGCAAGCAGCTCCCATGGGGATGCTCATGGTTTACTAACGCACAGCTTTGGTTTTCTCTCTGCCCTCCATCCTCTCCTTTTTTCAGTATTTAAAGAAATCACTGAAACATTAGATAAATACAAGGAACCTTCTGTTTATCTTTACTTTGAATGTTCAAGATTATCCTCTGGTGATTATTTCTTCAGATAACCAAAGGAGAGAAATGAAGAGAAACAAGCGCCAATCAGGATCAAACTTTGATGAGGAAGACTTGGAAGCTGCTGCTGAAGAAGTAAACCCCAGGTCACCTACAGTGCAACTGAGTCAAGAGCTTGATCACCAGTTTAATGACACCAGGCCAATGGGACGAGAAACAGATCAAACATTTAATCCAGACAACCCATATAATGTAAGTATTCGCACTGCAATCTTCTCTCAGAGCTCAGATGGTGATGCGGGGTTTGTCTTTTTTTTTTTTTTTAATCTGCACAATTTTGCCTGTTCAGCTTTACTCTGAAATAACAGACTTGCAAAACACCTAAGAAGCTAAAAAAAGTCTTCCCTCAGTCCTCTTCTCCAGTTTTGATTAGATTTCAGTCTGAAACAAGTACAAGTGCTTGAGATCACAAGGTTAAGGCAAGTTGATGCCAAGTTGCTTTTGGGGGTTTCCAGGTTCATATGGAAACAGCACTGGAGATCTGACAAGGATAGCACCTTCTGAAAACAAACCAAAGCTGGTCGACAGCTGAACCCCATCATTTACTATGTGAAGAGAGAGTCCAGTAGCTAGAAACATGCTTTGCTCTGAAACAGAAATTAGTATCACAAGTGACTACTACAGAGGAAAGCAGTAGCAGTGTCTGATTGCAAAGAGATTACGGTCCAGCCAAATAAATTTGTTTTTCTCAGCCTCTTCTCTATCAGGGTAAGCAACTCTAGTCTAGCAAGCAACTGGCAGAGAAGAATCTGTTTAGACAGCAACAGTGGATGGAGGATGACTATCATAAAACTCGTTCTCACCCTTTGAGAAGCAGCAGCCCACAGAAAGAGCACGGGAGCCACCCTGCCGTGTCCCAACACCTCTGCTGCGCTGCAGGAAAGCTGGCTGTACAGTAGGCACCTTCCAGTCTACTGCACCAGCGCCAGACAATTTACACTCATCATTTGGTGCAGCAGGAATAAGTCATTTTAATACAACACTGTCACAAGATAAATGCCTCCTGCTTTGGAAGCAAGTCCCAGCTTTGACTTGACATTTATGCAACAGCAGGAGATCATTATACTGTGACAGCATTCTGCAGAGTTGACATCCCTTAATTAAACTTAAATTAATCACTCCAAATAAAGTGGATCTAAATCGACTCTCTCATGAGATAGTAAAACGGCAGTGGCACTGGAAGGTAACTTCTCACAGCTACTGACGTGAACATGTCCATGAGGTCTGAGCTGCCCTGCCCCTGGAGGGCAGTGGCAGAGCAACTGCCACAGGTCTGTTCTTCCAGCCAAGGGCTGACAGGCCAAATGGAGAATGGCCAGTCAGATACTGGTCATCAGACTTCCCTCAGCCTGCAGAGCAGGATTCACCTTCACCAACAGTTACTGCACAGATGCCGATATCCAAGCTTCCTTAGAGATCAAATAATTTGATTGAAAAGGACCATTAGTAATACTGTAAGTCTTTCCTGAAGGATTAAATGAATCCTCCCTAGAGCTATTTCTCTTCACCCACTGTAAGTGGAGCCTGGACAACGAGCTCAGGTGTAGAAGTTCACAGTGCAGGTATCTGAATTCAAGGATGATGAATCCTGACCAAGGAAACAACATCCTCCCTGCTCCCAGGACTGGGAATGAGTTGCTGGGGTCCCAAACAACACCCAGCTGTCACCAGTGTCCTGTACAACCCCAGTCAAGAGATGGCACCTTTCCGTGTCCCACCTTTTTGTTGTGCTGCTAGTTTTATGAATGTACCAGCTGACTGGTACTTCAGTATTTGCTCTTTGCTGCTGCTTTTCTTGAAATAACACCAATGGGCAAAGAACAACTGAGCTCCAAAAAGCAGAATATCCAGGTTACCTTTTTCCCACAGAAAGGAGGAAAGGAATTTTGAAGGGTAAAGGTTTTTATGTATGCTTTGCTCCATTTAACTCCTTACTGTCAGCTACAGAACAGGCAGAATTCTCACTGTCCACAACGCACCTTAGTGTGGTGGGAGTGGGAGGGCAGGAAGCAGACAGAGACAAGGGAGAAATACTCAGAAAACTGCAGGGGACCAGGGGAATACCTTAAAGAGTAGTTTCCTAGGAATGCTGTAAAAATCATTAAAATACAAAAATTAAAACGAAACATAAAAGACACAGCATATACTTCAGGCATCATCACCTACACAAAAGACTCAGATAACTGTCTTGAAATCTTTTTCATCACTAATATTTAAAACTTGGGAGCTTTCTGTTGCTGGATCTTTTGCAAGGACTGTAGAAGAAAAACAAGGTAGTTAGAGCTGCCTGTTGTTCCTTTCATTTTACATGGGTGATTGCACCAATTCTCCACTTCTGCCAAAGAGAGCAAGACAAAAGAAAAAAAATAATAAAGCAAGATGCACGGGTCACTTAGTGGGAGCTTAGTTAACTTCCAGAGGCCCAAGATTTCAGTTTTTACCCTTTGTGGGGTTAACAGGAGCATGGGTTTGTTCTGCCATTCTGTGAGAATGAGAGCACCGGGATGACATTTAATATTTTACATTTCAGCAGCTGGAAGGTGAAGGGATGGCTTTTGACCCCATGCTGGATCACCTGGGCGTGTGCTGCATTGAATGCCGGCGCAGTTACACACAGTGCCAGAGAATCTGCGAGCCCCTCATGGGCTACTACCCGTGGCCTTACAACTACCAAGGGTGTCGCACCGCCTGCCGAATCATCATGCCTTGCAGCTGGTGGGTTGCTCGTATCATGGGTGTTGTGTGAGAGAAAGCCTTGACAAAAAAAATCTTTAAAAAAATCAGGAGACTTGACAACGTAAGCAGGAATTGCAATGACGACAAACTGGTAACAGACTACAACCAAAGCAGCAGTACCGATCCTGGTTTTCAAAATCAAAGTATGTTTTACTGCACCAGAAGCAAGGTCAGATATTCTAACTTCAAATTAAAATCTTAAGTTAATATTCTATTAGATTTACAAGTGACAAGGGTATATTAGCACTTGCTGAATTACAAAACTGAGACATTCCCCAAAAAAGACAGTAATAAACTTTGCTCACAAACTCGTTTAGCAGTCCAGAACCTTGCCTATAAACTCAGCCTTTCGTAACAAAATCCCCTCTTTCCAAGCTACATGTGAAAATTTACATCCAATTAGGCAACTAGCTCAACTTGTACACTTGGGAGTGCCTTTCATCCATGCAGCTTACTTAAATAAATCACAAGTTAAGTTGCTCCCCGTTAAGTTGCTCCCCTTTGCTATTTGGAGTTGCCAGGTCATTATGAATGGTTATAAACCAATTACAGCATACCTTTCCCCCAAAGCTGCTCCAGGGGACACGGGAAAGCACACATTGTGCTAAATCGGAAACAAACAGCAGGAAAAGGGGCTGTAGAAGGGAATGTGCGTGGCTGCAGAATCAAAACCCTTCGCACATCCCAACATCAAAGAAGCCTCAGCATTAAGAATCTTGTATCCATGATACCACTGTAGTGTCTAACAAGTATCTGCTATCCAGTTACTACAGCAAGAGTATTTACGTGCAGTTGCAGACCAAAGAGCCTCAAGGCCCTTCAGAATCTGCAACAGCCACTGTAATTTATAAATCCTTGAATTAGACACTTTTGACACAAGATTACAACCCCTCTTTATTCCACATGGATAGCAGCCATTCAGACTAGCTCCTTTAGCTTCAATGAAACTAACCTCTGTTCCCTGAAGAGAAACTGCTTACCAGCAAGGAGAAAAAAAAAAAAAAAAAAAGAAAAAAAAAAGAGTTTCTCATCTCACCCTTTTTGGTTAGGCAAACTCTGCAATTATTGGGATTGATCCTATTAGATTTTAAACCTCTAAGGAAGGTACTAAGCCAAAATACTCAAAGATGGAATGACTTAGTATTGACTAGCCTTGAAAACCAAAGACAGAGGTATTATACCGCCTTCATCCATACTATACATCCTGAACCCTACCACCGAGTTTATGGAGCCATCTAGATGGTCTTTATGAACAAAAGGGTCCAATTTTTCTTAAAGTTCACTTTCTGGAGCATTCACTTTTTTGACTAAACAGCTCTTGAGATGTTGCAAGCCCAGTAATGTTATTAACACTGCGTGAGACACAGAAAAGAGGAATTAATTTGACATAATCATGGCTTAAAGAAAATAAAGACAACCTCATGTGAAATGCTAAACTGCATATCTAAAAAGCAAAGTGTTAAATGAGAATAAGATGACACTAGAATTCAGTATTTTGTTCTATTGTAGCTTTTTTAATGTAAGCTTCACCTTCCCTTAATCTGAAGGACAGACTCGCTTTGAAATATTTAAATTATAAACTTCTTAAAGTGGGATTTCAAGGCCTGTTAAATTTGAGTTTCTCCTTTTTAAACTGAAAATGACCTTGATCATTATGTTGTTTTAGCAGTATGTCATTCATATGCTTAGAAAAGTCAGGTTTCCTTTTTTTTTTTTACTGCACATTAAACAAATACATTAAAAAACAACAATCGCTTTCTGTGCCTTTTTCAATGTAGAAACTGTAACAATTCCTTTACATACTCGTTCAAGAACTGTCTAGAGAGAAAAGGAAGGGGATCAGCAAGTGAAACACTGAAGGCAAAAAAGAAGGAAATATGACTATAGCTGAACTAGACTGTTGCTGTCTTGCATCTTGAGGCAACCTGTGACCTGCTTCTCTCTGTCTCCCCCCATAAAACAAAGTTTCCTTCTGAAGACAAAGAAAACCTTTTTGTAGGTGATTTACCTGTCTACACATTCTTAAGAAAATTGATTCTTCCTAAACAAAAGCTTGCATCAGCTGCTTTCTATAGGCAGTCACAAAGCATGCAAGAAGTAAAAAAAGCATCCTACTCACGGATGCGTTAAACTGTCACATACAGCATGTATGTCTCAAGAACACTTCTGTATGCACAATGCCAACAAAGCCTGAGTGATCATAAAATTTATCCATTTCCAAAAGATATGCAACAAAATGCCATCCTCAACTCAAGCTTCAAACAAGCGAATTCCTATTTACCTTCATACCAGATTCAAGGAAAGAAAAGTAAAGATCTTGTGCTGCAGCAAAGTTGAAAAGTCTTACTTCAGCACATCATCTAATTTTGAAGGAAAAGTTCTGAGGTGACACAGGAACAACAATAAAACCAACAAGCCAACAGTATGAAAAGACACAGTGATATTCCCTGCAGTGGTGGCTCAGACTCCAGCTCTAACTATCTGGAGCGATCCGATTCACTACTATATGGTATTTACTACCCACGCTGAAGTTTTTCACTGCCACCACAAATATAATACCTTGGCATACTAAAGGCATTCCAACACGTCAGCATTTGGAGGGGGTGGGATTTTCCTGCAATCTGACCCTGTGCTAGAAGAAACCTTTTGACCAAAGTTTAGGGAAGGAGGAGAGAAAGAGGAAGGACCTTGTCATCAACAGTATTTCCCACCACAGGTGTTTGTCAGAGCACTGCAATTCTACTATCCTTAAAACTTAATTACCCATGTGATTGTGTACTAGGAGGATTAGGATGGCACAACAGATTAGAGTAGAAAAAGGGGATAACTTCAGGCTGGTGGAAAAGAGAAGGAAAACGGGAAGCAATGCCATAGGGTTAAAAAGACTGAAAGCCAGTGATGGGAAGGCAGAAGTCTCTTTTCTGAACCTACAGTTTGCTTTCTCCCCACTTAAAACAAATGAACCAGAGTCTCTCTCTTTGTCCTTTTTGATACAGGAATCACCCTCCACTTGTATCTACACTGAAAAAATCAATAAGAAGCTGGGAGGCATGGAAGTGGGGGGAGGGGAAGGAATCTGTCTTCTGCCTCCCATGTAACACTTCACTCCTACTGCAGCACAAACAAATTCCAAGGAAGTTTCAGTGATCTTTTATAAACACTGTACCTATACCAAAGATGAGAGATACAGCCTTAAGCTGCAACACAGGCATCTTCCTCCAGACCAGGAGCAGAGTAACCCCATCTATGGTGTTAAAAGGCAAATCTACCATTACCTCTCACTGTCCTGTTCCCATGTTTGCAACAGATGTACAAATCACAGCACTGAGGTGAAACTACCTGGGTCTTCTAGACAGTACTATTTACGGATGACCAAAAGGCTTGGGGGAAAAAACCCTCAAGAGGTTTGAACACAACTAAAACATCATCCACTCTGTCCTTGCAGGCACTCATTGCCACTGTATCTTTCAGAGCCTCTATTCAACCTCCAAGCTCCCGATAGCTTTCTCTGGACCTAGGGCTTCTGGAACTGTTCTGCGTGCGTTTTGTCAAGAACAAAGCATACTGTTCACAAAGTTCATGAAGAACCTTCTCCCCAGCTCTGTAAGGAAATTTTGCCTACTGCTTTAATCCAATCCCCTCCAAACAGAAGAAAAATTCAACACACACATCCTCACATTCCCCTTTCCCAAAGGCAAAAAGAGCTGCATTACTAGTTCACCTAAATTCTAAGGTGGAACACACACAGATTATCTGCCTGTGCTCAGAAACATGACAGAATTATGTTTAGACCTGCAAACTTGGTTTACAGGATTGAGATGGACAGGGCGCTCTACCACTTGATTGCTACAAGTTTTAGCCTGAAGCTAAAGCATTATATTTGCATTACATATGCCTCAGGAGTACATAAATAGCAATGCATTTTATTTTACTTTTTGCCTTAAGCTACGTGAATTGAATCTCAAAGTGGTGAAACAGTACCCACTTAATACAAGAATATATTGTGCTTATCTGACGAAATACTCCCATGGTCTTTCAGTAAGTGAAAGTAGACAGAGGAACTTCTACTGTGTTCTCTTCAGTAGGTAAGAGCAACTTGATTGGCAGAAAATATCCTCACATTACTTTTTAATTTCTATTTAAGAGATTTTTATCTAGGCTTTTGCCCATAGCAAGCCTTCGCTAAGCACTGTTAAGTGCTCCAAATGACATTTATAAAGCAAGGCTGGCCAGGAGACAAGAACCCAATTTTCTGACAAAGAGAAGCACTCAGGCATTTGTCTTCCTTCTACACTAGAAAGGAAGAAATGCTTTTCAGAGCATAAATAAAAAGCAGCAAAGCACTTATCCAGGAGAATTGAGTTCAAGTACCTATCCCAAATCAAGTCAACTTCAATGTTAGGATCCCATATGGATGGCAAATGCTCTACATGTTGAGCTACTCAGAATTCTCTGAAGGTCAAGAAAAGCTCCATTGAAGCTAACAAATCACTGAAACAGGCCACAAGTATATTCTCCGAGAAACTCTTCCAAGAAGCAGATGTTGCTCAGTAAGTGCCAAGAGGTAAGGCACACACAAAGCCATTCCTAAATCCAATCTACCCCAGTTCATAGTATTCAAAGAGCAGCGTGACATTCAGTTCTGAAGGTTATCAAATTTGAGCTTTGGAAAAAACAAATTAATTCTGAATCCAGAAGTGATGCAAAAGAAACCACTGCCCAGCTTGCACTATAGGATAATCAGGATCAGAGTGCCTGAAGAAACTGCAGTTATGTCAAGACTGTAGTCACAGCTACAGCTGCCCACTATGACTATCCAAAGTTCATTGCTACCGCATACATCCAAAAACAAACTCTCGTTTTGGGATTTGTGAGACTTTAAAATCTTGGTATCTCTCTACTGTACAGGCATAGTAACAACAGTAGGAAAAAAGCCACTGCACTTTCCCAGCATCACTGCAAAATCTAGATTCCCGTTCCTCAGAAAGGACAGAATACATCCTTCCTTCCTCCTCTTTAGTTTTCAATCATCATTAATTACTGAACAGCTGCAGACTTCACTTGTTCTATTCAAACACCTGTTCTAACAGCCTTTATATTATACCAAGCTCCTCCAATTCACACTGCAGTAAATTAACCTACTCAATACAAAGAAAACAGGTAGAGTAACAAACAATCAGGAAAACCACACATAATTAGGAAAGCAAGGAAAAGTAGCAAACTTAGAGAAGCATCCAATGGTTAGTAAGGAATGAAGTGGCTTTCAGGGTGCTGTCAATATTTGCAATTCATGGTGTTTTCTATGATCACAGAATATTTAGGTATCTCTGAATTCCCAAAAGACAGTGGCACATGGACTAGGCATGTTTAGCACAACTTTGTGAGTTCATGTCTCTTTCACAGAATCACAGAACAGCTCAGGTTGGAAGGCACCTCTGGAGATCACCCTGTCCAACGCCCCTGCTCAAGCAGGGACACCTTGAGCCAGGTGCCCAGGACCATGTCCAAGTGGCTTTTGAGCATCTATATGCCCTTTTAGACTTGTATCTAGGTAGTACAAACAGAGACAGTACTTACATTCTCAGTTCTTTTGTAAATATTGTCTGTATATATTGTTATTTACAATTTGGTCGTGAAAAAAAAAGCTGCACAATTAAGGACATACAGGTTCTTCTCTAAATACTCCCCAGTATTCAGAAATCACAGAACTTAAAGCAACTGCTTGCTGTCTTTGATTTCAGGCAATTACAAAAGATCCTTCTTTTGGAATACACAAGGCAGACAGAGGACCCATTTTTCTGTAAGAATTTCCAGTCACACCAAATTTTCTACTTTCCATCACTTATGACTACAGCTATCTATCGCCAAGGTGGAAGGACTCCAAAAGTGGGTATGTTGTGTCTGCATCAAGAATAGTAATGTCATCCTCTTCCCTGAATGCACATTTTACTCCTATACATGCCAGGGTATTTTTAAGCAGTGTATTCGCATCCTTACCTACATGTTCTAAGTGATTCCCCCAACAAAAACCAAGAATACTAAAAATGAAATAAAGCAACTTTCATATAGAAAAAGTTGTATTTACAGTTTTATTTAGCAGAGTTAAAGAGCAAACAATTTTAACACTGTTGTTGAAAAGTGTTTTTACCCAAAGTTGCCAAGATCTAATAAGTTATTGAACAGAAACACCAAGTGTAAGGCAGAAATCCTGACCAGCCATTAGAGATCACCCTATCCCAAAGAGCAGAGCTGATAAAGGCGGTAGAAAATTTGGACTGATTGACTCAATTTCCAGAAATTAGACAGAGATGACAAAAATAGGGCTCCACTTTTGAATATATCTTTAACATCTGTGGATGAAGGAATTTCTAGAGCACACAAAATGTAAAGACAATTTCTGTTTTCAAGGGAACATTCAGTGCTTTGAATCCAAGAATACTATGTCCATATACAGTGGTCAGTACATGACTATGGCAACACACGGATGGTAAAGATCAAAAATAGGATTAGAACTTTTTCCATTCCACATCATCAGGAGGATTTACTTCTACCTTCCTTTTACCGACATCAGACCAGTTGGTGCTCAGAACTGTGCCGCCAGACTCCATCTGCAACACAAGAGAAAGCTTGTTTGGTTTGCTAGAGAACTCCAGTAATAAAAAAGCCACATTTCACAGTAAGCTTCAAAGAGTAGTGATTACACAAGAATTCTGTGTCCATACAGAATGAAGTCTGACAAAGCCAT